ATTCATAAATAATTTCAATTTCTACACAAGATACCTGAGGAACATCTAATTATGAAACTGAGAAATGAATGAAGGGTGTCGTGATGGGGTGGACTGCGATGCACTGAAACACCTTGTTGCAAACTGGATGGTTTCCTGCATTATATCAGTCAAACTGCTGCAGGGATGCACAAAAGCACTGGGTACCAGACTGTCCAAGGTGCCTAGCCTCGCTGCGTGCTTTCACAAAGTGAGAGAATCAGAAGGAAAAGGACAACGGCGAGGCTGAGAGCAAAGGACGACGGGATCGTACTGCCCAAAAAATATTTGCAGACTGGATACTGAACACCGTTGTTGAGGTTACTATTTATCTCATGCCAGCCAAGTTGGCACGCACATCTGGCGCTGGGTACTTAGTGCAATTATTTATGATTTCCTCCAAGATTTAAAAGCTCTTCGCCCGGCCTTGTAATGCAGTAACTGATTGCACTGCTAATGTAATTAAGGGGAGATTATGATGTCCACGTGGCACACCAGATGGTGGCATTCACAGCGATGGGGGAAGGCACAACTGGCACACCACTGCACAAGGGCAGTGAGGCGCAGTCAGTCGGAGCAGTCCAGACTCCCCACCAGACGGAGGAAAGTGTATGTGTGCGCGTGTGTGTGTGTGTGTGCGTTTGTGTGTCTGTATGTGTGCATGCATTAGTGGTCTGCATGCACAGATGCATGTGCGTGTATGGGTGCATTTAATGATAAGTTGAGCAATAAAGTGTAAGCTGATAGAGATAAGCAAATGTAATATACTACAGAAGCAATTACTTACAGTAGGACGCTCACATAAGATCCATGCACAAGTATAAATACACAAATGAAACTTAGAGGCCATATATAAAAACCACTGGTTGATTTTGGAAGTTGTGTACAACACCATCTCCAAAAAAGTTGGAAACTGTTTAAGATGTAAATTACAGAATCTAACGATGTGTGAATTATTTAAACTCTGAAGCACGTGTTATTGAAAAAAAAAGTGTTTCCGTCTTGAAATATATATACTTAATGCTCATTTAAAACCTGATCCCAGTAGCACAATTTGAAAAAGGAAACGTGGTACGTTAAGCTATTCTACCTTTCTATGATCATAGTTTGCCAAATGCTGCAGATTGGCCTGTTTGACTCTTTTATAGATGTATTTGGTTGTAACACCTGCAGAATGTAGGTGCATCATCATAAAATATGTATATATTGTTCAGCATTAATGATGCCTACACAGTTGTGTGCACTGATGCACAACTATGCTGTCATAAATGCTGGCTTTTAACAGTAAAACAATCATTTCCTGAAATAATTTCTAGTTTTATTCAGCCAGACAGGACAGCGCGCTACTTTATTTTGCTTAATTCCAACTTAAATGAGCTCCTGATGCAGATTTAACTTGCATTTATAGCTTAAGCGACAAACTCTGCTCACTCTGGTCTGTCGAGCTGGTGCATTGATTTCCACAACAGAACTGCATCAGGTGGAGCTGGAGGTGGCAGAGTTGAAGATGTTGAAATTTTCATTGGACGTAACCAGGAGGGACGGGGTTAGAAATTATTACAGTGAGAGAGTTGAGGTTGAGCGGTTTGGAGACAAAGTTAGAGGGGCAAAGCTGGGATGGTTTGGACATTTAAGACAAGCAGTGCAACTCTTAGACAAAGGACATTAGAGATGGAGCTCCCAGGAAGGAGGAAAAGAGAAGGTCTATGGCTTTAGTGAGAGAAGACATGCAGAAGGTGTGTCTGACGTGAGAGGATACAAGGAGATAGGGTGAGATGAAGACAGCAGATCCCTAAAGAGGAAGATGAAGGAGACTGAATAAGAGCCTGAGGATCACTGCAATTTAACATTGGTTTTCAGCTTTGCCCCTGAAGTACAAGGATATCTCTGGATTCTCTGATTCTCATAATGATATTAGATTCTTAATATCATTAACATTACAATAATGTTAGATTTAATCTTTTTCAATTTTCCTTGGACTAATGCTATTCCTAAATTGTTGGAATACTTGAAACAGTTGTTAAAAGAGTGGCGAACCCCTCCCTGTCTTTACTTGTGGAAGACTCAGCCTCTCTGTTTATACCCAGTCACGTTACAGACCTGCAGTTAATTAACCTAATTTGCAGTGAAATGTTCACCAGATGTTTGTTTTAGGATTAGATCACTTTTATGTGCTGTTAAAAAACAAAACATGTGGCAGATATTGATTTCAAACTCAAACAGTTTTGATATTAAACTATTAAATATGCTTTCTTTGTATTTGTCGAGTTAAGATTTGAAAGGATTTCCAAATGAATGCGTTCTGTTTTTACTGAGGTACAGCAGACTTTGTCGGAAATAGCGCCGCGTTATCTAGAAGCATTTTAAGAAGTCTCCTCTTTTTATGGATGATTTGTTTTAAACTGCAAACATGAAGAATTAGTGAGTGAATCTGACAGTTCATACATTTTCAACTTGTGCAATTCAGTGCTTTGGCCAAGAAAACAGATGGCATAAATGGAAAATTAAATCACATTTGGAGAAGCCATCATGTTTCGGGAGGTTTTTTTCCAGCCAGGGCAGCAATGAGACTCGACCAAACTGACCTTTAATTAGAGAGAAGCATGATATCATGGAGCCATGCGAGGCTGTATTCTATGGGGACGCTCAGGGTAGGCTTCCTAAAGCTTGTTATTATAAGCTATTCAGGAGACATGTTTTTTTTTTTTTTTAATGTGTAGAAAAGCAAGGAGGAGGGGGTTGAGCGTTATATATAAAATGTGACCTGCAGATTTCTACATAGCCCATAATGGGCTCATGCGGGTGACGGGGACGTTGGGGCGCAGTAGATTTCCCAAGTTGAGATAGGATATTATTACTCTCGGGGTGGCAACACAGAAATCTCCATCTCTGGTCCCTAGTCTAGTGTCAGCAAATTACTGAACACAGTGAATGACCTTTACACGTGGAAAAGAAAACCTTTGCTGTTTTTTTTTTTTCTTTAATCATTCAGGTGCAAAGTTATTCACCAAGGTATAATTTTAGTCCAGGGGCTCTTCTTTCATCCACTGATTACCACTCACGACTACAAGATTGTTACTAGAATGTGTGTGTGTGTGTGTGTGTGTGCGTGATATTTTGCTCATGATAAGATGATCCAGTATTTATGGGGTCAACTTTAAAGCGAGATGTGTCATAAAGTATACATGAAACAAAGCGTGAACAGAGAAATCACAGTTTTAATGAACCTTTTCAAAATGCCAGCTGTAATGCTATGCGTCCTACACTGGCTGCTCCCCCACAGAAATCTGCCACAGCCATCATTCATCTTACCCCACAACCCTCAGCATGCAATGTGCCACACATTAAAACACTGTAAAAGCTGATGGTTTTCACAGTTAGCATGTGTTGCTGCTATCTCCAGACTCTCAATGAGTGTTTCATCACCTATTCCATAATTAGACCATTACTTTAGCAGGTGCACCTCTTCGCAGCTGGAGCATGTGTTGTTGTTTTGGGTTTTTTTTTCCCCCTCTCCGTCTACTCTTTTCTCCCTACCAACACCTGAGATTTTATTTTATCAACTTCAGCACCACTGCAAATCTCGTTTCAGTAGGTTGTCAACACCTTGATGTGATAGCATGTGCTGGTGCGTGTGAGGTTGGTGGTGGTGATGATACGGGGTGTTACAGGGGCTTACGAAGTAGGAAAATCTTCTTCCGCTGTGTAAATTTCCTCACCGGAATTAATTGCAGCTCCAACTGACATACAGTTAGCCTCAGTTATCAGTGCTGTGTTGTATGACGTGAAGAACACTGTTTGCAACATGCCAGGATCTTTACACTTGTTTTATTCTGTCAGCCACAGGCTATGCAAGACAAACTATTCTCCCCATTACAAACTCAAATGATGACTTAAAGGAGTAAAATCTGATAATCAGATATATTTGGAGGATCATGAAAGATGTTATGCGAATTATTCGAATTGTCATCGCACTGCATCAACAGTAAGATTTGAAACAAAATGTAAAAAGCAAAGATTTTATTTTCTCTCGGTCTTTTATGTTCATTAAATGTTAATATACTGGATAGTGAGACAATCAACATCAGAAAAGTTTTTTTTTAAAAAAGGGTTATAAAGGCAAGCGGTAATATTTTTGTCTGCATCCTTGGTAAAATCAACCACATGAATGGAGGTGTAAAATGTTTTTTTGTTACATGGGGTGTCACTTTCCTCTGAAAGTCACCCCCTCTTCATAAATTTCAGAAGGAAAACCGATCGCCAATAAATACATCTCACTGCGTGTGACATTCGGCCAGCATATGGCACCATGTCATAGAGCAAAGCAACAAGTCTTTGATTTGAATACAGTACATTAGGATAATAGTCGCAGAATGAAATAATTTATTTGATTGGTATGGTGGGGGCAGAAATAATAAACTCGATGATGGGAAAGCATCTGTTGCCTGCTGGTGTTTTGGACAGTCTACAAAGAGGCTTTCAAGTTTTGCACTCAGAGAGACATGAACATCCTAATGTTACAGCTAAGTCAATACACTGGGCTTGGTCTTACTTTCATCTGATTACAGAAACGACATGTGACGATTAGAGAGACAACCAACTGCCAGGAGGCGTGACCTGTAGATATAGCCATGTAATGATAGCCATTTAGTGAAGCACAACCTAATTTAGTTACAACAGCTAAATTGGATCACGTAGGTTATTGCTAAAAAATACACCCTGGCATTGCAGGCCTTGAAATTCTTTGCATGCTTTGTTCTTAATGTAAGTTTTTGTTTTGTTTTGTTTTTTTAAGCAACTGATATCTAAGCCGTTTGCTGAATAAAATGTCCAATTTTGGGGTTTTTTTAATCGTTTAATTAATTTATTTATTAATAAAACAATAAATCACAGAAAAAAAATATTCTCGGAAGACCAAATATTGGACTGTAGTTAATAATTTATTCCCTTGAACACCAGGAAGCATTTCCTTCCTACATGTTGGCGTGTAAAGGCCAAAGTTCACAAAGTGGTAGTGATAACCGGGGGGAGACGTTTTAGCAGGTAAAAAAAAAACAAAAAACAAAGGACTCTGTGTTTAGCTTCTGTGTCAGCTCACTGTTGAGTTTGTGGTGGGTTTCAAGTCTCCAGGTAATTTGTAAGACTGCTATATGGCAGACGTTAGCGTTTTATACCACAAGATGCATGTTGGACGTTAACTAGAGCTGTGTTTGCGTCACACCCCTCTCGGTAAAGCAGTTGTAACTGGGCACTTGTAAATAAGCACTTTCGAGATGGATACAAGATAAAGCTAAAACTCTTTAAACCCTAGAAAAACCAGTAAGTATGCTAGCTAAACAGAAAGTTGTTTTTTTAGCCAAAGAACTGCTCTTAGCTTGTAAATATGACTGTCAGATACACCATAAACCGCATTAGTGTCTTAATTTTATGAGCATAATGTTTCTAAATATGGTTCTTAACATAAGAATTATTGAAGTTTGTCACCTGTGACCTGACAGGTTAGCAATATGCAAAATGTTAGCAGGTACACGTTTAAATAATTTGTAAGATTAATATTATAATATTATAATATTATAATTCTCCATATAACTTACAACCACAAACTGGCTCTTCAGTACTATTTAAGACTGTATACTATCTTGGATTTCATGGTGATTTTTGTCTTTGGAAATGAAATATGCTTGCAATGGTTTCTCTTTTTTTAGTTAATCTGCCTGGACAAGTTCTCCAGGCCTTGTTTTTGTGCCGGAAAAAACAAAGCTCATTTTAAACAAATGAATGTTACAAAGAGATTCTTCAATCTATTAGCTAATTTGCTATCCTGTTTCATTTGAATAAGTACAGCTATCTAGCATTTGTTAAAGAGACAGCTGTTTTCTGGAGTAAAACCCCTAATTTGATCAGCTTAATTGCAATAGATTTTCTAAATATCAAGATTGAATGCAGCAACTTTGTCAGTTAGTACAAGAATGTTTTAAACCTAATCTAATAAAATTGCGCAAGGGAACCTTTTGTAAAGCCACTTACCCTGTAAGAGGCTTGCATACCCATTAGAAAAAAATTCCCTTAGACAGGAATAGATAGCAATTGATTGGGACTTCCTTGAAAATATGTGATCACTCCCCCTAATTTGTGATTTGGTGAAGTCATTGGGTAGTCTCCAAATGCTGTTTTGTCACTGGTCTCACTTGTCATTTGATCCTGGATTAGGCGGACACTTTTTCTTCTAGATCCTAATAAGCCTCATCAAGAAGTCAATATTGTGGCCATTTTAGCCAAGAAAGTCTGTGTGCATCCTCTGTGTAATGACTGCCAGAGGTGAAACACACACATACACACACACGCGCGTGTGTGTGTGTATGTGTGTGTTTCACCTCTGCAGAAAGAACTGTTGATACCAATTGTACCAATTGTAAAGGTACTCTTCTGCTTTTCTAACAGAGCTTCGACATGTCTGAAGTCAGCAGCCAGTTTCCCATAGACCCCATCACTGCAGTTGGAGTAGTGTCTTCACCCAGCAAGGCCCCTGATGGCTACTATGTTGTGAGTACAAACATCCTGAGCACAGGTTTTATATATAAAACCTGTCCTCAGTACACCATGAAATCACCAATTGCATTCTGGAGGTTCAGTGTTAGCATTTTGCCTGCCACCATGATGTAAACCATACATGGATGAGAGGGTGGATTGTTATCAGCTTATGCTGGCAAGCCTGGTTATTAAGCTGTATCCATAGTTTTCAGATGTCCAGATATTCGCTAATTAGTTCCAAGTAAAGAAGTCATTCACCAAAAATTGACTATTTTTATGGCTGTTCATATAATTAACATACACAAAACCAGTCTAATTAAAAATGATCCAAAAAGGCGCCAACAATAAAAATACAGTAGATAGATCCAGTTCTGAGTCAAATTAGCAGAGGTGACACCTAGCCACTTTTGTCAGTGGTAACCCCATATAGTTATTATGATGGCTATAATTACTTACAGTAACTGTAACTGTTTTTTGTACCACACCCGTTAAGGTTCTGATGATTTTTACCCCATCAAAGGCTGATGGGGTATCGTCATTATCATGCTGGGTAGGTGGGTGGGTGGCCAGGTGAAGTGGACACCTAAATTTGTGAACATAATAACTCGAGAGCAAGGTGGCTCATATTTCATATTTCATTACATATGCGTTTGCTAAAACAGGCTGAGAGCAAGTCTGCACTTTATTTTATTTCTTTTAAAAATCAAAGGTTCAGTAAAAAAAGCACTTTTTTGCCCTGATGATGCATTTAACATTTTAAAGTGTTTTTTGTGATAGGACCAGAATCCAAATTGTTAATCAGTGATTGTTGTCATAATTGGAGATCTAATAAGATTTATTTTGCTTTCTTTACTGAGTTGCACATGTAACAGTTGAAAATGATTGTGTAGCATAATGCACACCCAGGCTGTTGGCACCCTTTCAAGGTGTTTTTGTAAGATCTGCTAGATGACTTATTCATAAAGTTTACTTTGATGATTAGACGGATTGCCATCGTTGGTTGCCACCAGTGTTGTAGACACACCAGAGGCAAAGGTTTAATGATGTTAGGTTTATCCCCTTATAATTTAACTTTGTCCTCATGTTTTCTTTATATTCAAGTCTCACAGCGTCTTCACCATTAACAGAAATGTGAAGTAGTGCAGGGTAGGCTGCTTAATTAGATTTTTTTTTTTGTAAGTTAGTTTAAAGGGTAAAAAAAGAGAAGATAGTGCACAAGTTTATCAAAGCACGAAACAAGCTCAAGGGCAGATCTCTCTTCCTCTTCCCTTCTTCCTATTCAAGCTTCTTTTGTTTTCATTAGGCCCCCAAAGCCTCCCTCTTCCCCCTGTTTTTATCTCTTCCTGCTCCACCCAACACACTCAGCTTGTTCCTATCGAGCAGATGACAGTGGGTTGGCATCAGAAAGGAGCCATCGGCACGGAAACTGCGTACACGCAACACAGTAACAAACACAGGGAAATCAGATTTCATTCTCTACCAGTCCACTGCACCTTACGCTGTGTGCGCAAACACTGTGTATGTTCCAGAGGGTGGTAGACGAGAAGGGCAAAATTAAAAACGAATATTTTTAAAATAAATATAAATCTGATTTCACTCTGTTTTTGCAGGAAATGTTGTTACTGCATGAAAACATGCTAGTAGAACTAATTAACCAAACTTAGTAGGTTACTACTTTAGTTTCAAATGATAATGTTAGCATCTGAGCTACTTTGGGCTGCTCCCTTGTCACAAAGGGTCACCATAGTGTGTAATTCTGCATGTTGGATTTGGCAGGCTTTTATAAAAGATGCCCAAATGTGTGAATTGCTACACTTGGAGCCATAGCTTAATGCTATTGATCTGTTGCAAGGGTATCATAATAAATAAATCTTAATCACAATGTGTATGCTCCAATCAGCCTCAGCTGCACTTTGCGTTGAAATGGTCAGCTGCCAGAATGAACTAAAATGGTGTTTAGCAACATGGCAGTTGCTAAATATGAGAAATTTGATATTGTTAACCTTAAATGCACTGTTGTAAGCTTGTTAGCATGCTGTTATTAGGATGTAGTTTATGTAAAGTATTGTGCCTATGTACAGCCTTCCCAATGTGCCAGATGTTGGCTGTCGACTCCTAGTTGTGTCAAGTTATCAGTGCTTAGCTGCAGGGATGTTGCTAGTAGATTATTTTAAACTACCTCATAGCTGCGCTTTGTGACCTGCGTTGGTCACTAAACTGGCTGTGGTTGGTTTTATGCATTAGTGTGTTGTTAGTGGATCACCCACAAACTTTGGCTGCCTAATAAATCTGATGACTTCCTCTATTTGAGATGGTAGCTTCTGATAGAGTAAGATACTTGTTTGTAGAAAAGAAGGACTGCAGTACAACCTTTAAGAGGGTTTTATTGTCAAATTTTTAAGTCAAATTTAAAAAGTTATGATTCAAGATTAGAGCATAAAGAATAAAAAGTTACGTGCAAGTCATCCTCCAAGATAAGATTCAAGGTCTTTCAGGCTCATAGGATCTAGTTCAAATGCGTTTGTCTCATCTTCAAGAATATCTTTTCGAACATCACTATGTCGTCTTTCACTTGCAGACTTGAAATACAAACAAAAATATCTGCAGTTGGTATCAGTGTACTAATGCACCACTGAGGAGGGAAAGTCTCAGGATATTAGCTGTATTGATTTTTCTTTTCCTTTCATATAAGAAATCTTTTCAAATACCTCCTTAATACGGACTGTTCACCATACTTTCCATATACTTTATAAAGCAGATCAAAGAGCTGATTAACTCTTTTGCTCTCTGATACCGTACGCTCACATCTCTGAACTTGAGCAGGTTGTTCCAACACGAGAGAGCGCAGGCCCAGATCAAACACTGTTCCACTGGGATCAGGAGCTTTGCTAAAGCACCAGCAGCCACCTAACATCAAACGCACTGAGTAGACTCTTGCTCACTCATGCTCTGTTCATGGGTTGCAAAGGAGCTATGGCAGCTAGCTTCTTCCGCTCTGCTTTCAGCTAAACTAATTGCTCGCACGCTTTAGCACCCACTTTTAACACACACGCTGAATCTCAACAAGAAAGTCAAGTAGATTTCAAAGTGACTTTAGTTCTTTAAAGTACACATATTATGCTTTTTGGGTTTCACCTCTTTTTCTGTCATAAACTATTTTTGTGCTTGTCAAACGCCTGCAAAGTTCAAAGGTCATCCAGAAAAGTTATTCTCTGTCCAAAATGTCTTGTTAGGAAAACAGGGTTTCTTGCATGGCTTGTCTACATCCCTTCATATTTGCATAATGGCCACCTAGTGGCTAGTTGAACACAGCCTCAAGCAAACAGTATGCAGCTGCACCACATCATTATTATGTACTTGTTAATGCTCCTTCTCTATCTGTAAATTTTTTCAGCCATGAACAAAACATTTAGGCATTGTAAGAAAGAGTGAATACGTCTTATCCATCCTCTTATCCTTATCAAGGTGATGGGGGGCTGGAGCCTATCCCAGCTGTCACAGGGCGACTCTATTGCAGGGCTAACACTTAGAGACAGACAACCATTCACACTCACATTCACACCTATGGGCAATTTTAGAATAATCAATTAACCTAACCCCACTAACTGCATGTCTTTGAATTGTGGGAAGAAGCTGGAGTACCCAGAGAGTACTCCACACTCCACACTGAAAGGCCCCAGCCAGATAGTGGAGTCACACTCAGGACCTTGTTGCTGTGAGGCGCCAGTGTTAACTGTTTTCCTATTATTCCTTGAATAATAGGAAAATCCTTTGCATTAGCAAATTATTGGGTGTATGACATAGATAGTAATGATGGACATTGCTTCCAACTAGGGCTGCCACGATTAGTCGACTAATCACGATTACGTCGACTATTAAAATCGCCGACG